GTTGTTCGGCTGATGGACACCGGGTGGCATCTCCAAGCAACGATGCCCCGAAGAGGCGGGTCGCCTGCAAGTCAAAGTCCGCTTGCGCTCTTGCCATCCTTCCCTTTCAGTCTCTTGATCAGAACCGACCACCGCGCCTGCTGGGCCATTGCGCGGGTACTGCTCACAGTCTTTCCTTCTTTGTTCAACTACGACATCTTTCCTCTCCCTCCGCGACAATGGGCGAATCCTTCATTCAGCGCGAATTTCTCTCACCACGCCGACTCCTCTTCAACGTATGTAACACCATTCATCCTCCTCTATTGTATATACTCAAGCAGGTGTGCGTACAGATCCTCTGGTATGGTTCCCACTTGTTCGTATTCGGATACGGTTGGTATTCGCAGCAAAGCAATGCCAAACTCGCCGGTCTCAATACGCTCAAGTGGTCGGTCTGGAGCTCTCGCGGCGCTGGTCTCGTCCTAGCGTACGACGGTTTCATGATTCTGGTCCCCATGTTGCGCAACATCATCCGTGTCGTCCGACCCAAATTTACATGGCTCTTCCCTGCCGACGAGAACATCTGGTTCCATCGCCAGGTCGCTTACTCGATGGCCTTCTGGGCCATGGTCCACACTACCGCGCACTATGTCAACTTCATTAATGTCGAGCTCACTCGTAAGTCCCCTCCCACTGCCCCTGCCCGTAGAGGCGCGCATCCTCCGCCCGTTCCACAACTTCGGTTCTTGTATTGATCGGCCTGGCTACGTGCAGAAATCCGACCCCAACGGGCTCTCGACATTCATTACGCCGAGCCTGGCGGTCTCACTGGCCACTTCATGCTGACCATCATGGTGCTGATGTACTCTACCGCGCACAAGAAGGTCCGCCAGCAGTGTTTCGAGGCGTTCTGGTACACACATCACCTCGCCTTCTTCTTCATGCTCGGGTTGTACACCCATGCCACGGGCTGCTTTGTGCGTGACAGTGCAGAGCCCGACTTCCAGGCGACCTTCCCGTTCTATAACACTCGCCACTGCCTTGGCTACCTGAGCTGGCGCTACACAATCTGGCCTGGCATCATCTACTTTGGCGAGCGCATTTACCGCGAGATTCGTGCACGCAGGACCACTCGTCTGTCCAAGGTTTTGGTTCACCCCTCCGGTGCCATGGAGCTGCGTATCATCAAACCCAGCTTCAAATACACCGCCGGCCAATGGCTGTTCGTTCAGGTTCCTGATGTTTCGAGCCTCCAGTGGCATCCTGTGCGTCTCCCCCGGTCGTCAAACAAACCCCTTTGCTTAGCTTGCTAATTAAACCCGTTGGCACAGTTCACCATCACGTCCGCACCTGAAGACCCTTACGTGTCTGTTCACATCCGCCAGGTGGGAGACTGGACGCAAGGTCTCGGCGAGCGTCTTGGTGCTGGACCGTCGGTTGTCAAAAGCCTCACCCAGGCTGCCATGAAGACCTACGATCGCGATGAGAAGGCCGGCTTGAGCCGTGGTGACTTCGTGGAGCTCGACCCGAACAGCATGTCTCGCCCGATGCCTGCTATCCGTATTGACGGCCCGTACGGTGCACCAGCTGAGGATGTTTTCAACTCGGACGTCGCGATTCTCGTAGGCGGTGGTATCGGTGTCACTCCATTCGCCAGCATCCTGAAGCACATCTGGTATCGTCAGAAGAAGGGAAATCTTGGCGCCCTGCGCCGCGTTGAGTTCTTCTGGGTGTGCCGTGACGTTCCGTCGTTTGGCTGGTTCCAGAACCTGCTGCAGGAGGTCGAAGCTGCACAGACAGATCGTACGTCGATCCGGCGATCATCGGGATCTTTCTGCTCACTAACGAATCCCACGCACAGCTAACTTCCTCCGCATCAACATCTACTTGACGCAAAAGATCAACGAGGACATGCTCTGGAACATCGCTGTCAACGATGCTGGTGCTGACTACGACCCTTTGACACTGTTGCGCACGCGCACGATGTACGGACGTCCTGACTGGAAGACCATCTTCACGCGCATCCGCTCTGCCATCGAGACCGGACAGTATCTCCCCGGCCAAAATGCAGAGCTCAAGACCCGTGTTGGTGTAAGTTTCGCTTTTATTTTCGTATCTCTGAACCTTCGGCCCTGACAATTCGGTTTAGACCTACTTCTGTGGACCTGCGCCGCTCGGCCGTGACCTCAAGCGCGAGTGTAACGCCGCCACAAACTCGCAGGTTACCTTTACGTTTGCGAAGGAGCACTTCTAAAGATCGTGACGGACCACGCCGCGGGGCTGGCTCCTTATTCTCGCTCGGTTAATGCCTATCATCCTCGCGGAGAGATTGTCGTACATGTTCAAAGACCCCAAGCCCCGTGGAGCGGGGTTGGCAGGTGCTCAATGGACTGAGATGTATTTTGTTGTCGAGTTCTGTTTGCCTTTATGAGAATGAGACGTTGGACCAGGTCTAATCTGACTGATACTTATTTCGCATCGTTGCTGCTAAATATATAGTGATATGTGTATCCTCTTCTCTAAGACAAGAGATCCGTGGCCAGCAAAAAAGTGAATCTGCCGATCGCGCGAAAGCGTCTGCGCAATCCGCGGTAGCGTCGGGATCTGCGGTGCTCGTGATTGAGGCCTCACCGTCTGTGGTCTGCCTTTCGTATTCGTTTCCGGATTTTAAATGTACACCGCCTCTGTGATCTATTAGACAAAATTAAGCTTGAACCGCCCTCTGACGCGGGAAGCGAATTGTGACACCAGCAGGTCAGCGAATTTGATAACAAGACTTTAACTGGTTCCCTACCAGTGCCTATGTGTCTAAGCGGGAAGGGGAATTGGTGTGCACGCAGCCAAGGACGTGCACCTTCAGACGATTCCAGGGTCAGCAGCCACAGCTCCCCTACCGAAGTAAACTCTTTCAGGGACCTCTGCATGGGCTAATCAATATAAAAGATACCCGAAGGACTTATACACCCCGATAATGGCCCCCATGGGCAATACCACCTTGAGTGCAGTATCGGACGGCGGTAACGGGGGCCTGGCCAGCTCTGAGTCTGGAGATGCGCCATACTCCTAAATAGGACAAGAGAAGTTGATTTTCTGCGAATGTATCAGTGTCGTATGCGAGACCGGACGCAGCTTTGATCATTCCGAGCTCGGTTGCGAGCGGAGTCGTGCTGACCGTTCCTCTCCCACAGAGAAGTGTGATGTGCCAGCAGACACAGCCCCCTATCGTAGTAGATTCTTGCAGGGACCTCCGTATGGGCTAATAAATATAGAGGATGCCCGAAGGACCTATAGACCTCGATAATGGCCCCCATCGGCATTCCACCCCGTGTGCAGTGTCGGAGGCCGAGTAAAGTATCGTGACGAGTGTCCATACCCGGCACCGCCGTGCCGGTGGCCGTTCACCCTAAGTCTGGAGGTGCATCGCACTTCTCTGTGGGGAACTTGGATCACAAGTGAGGCAGCACTGGAGCTGTCTCAGCGGTCCTAACAGAATCTGGAGATGTTCTGCTCAGCTGTGATTGAACCTCTCTCCCCATTCGTCCCGAGCAAAGCTCAACAGCTAGCGATGGTGAGATCACGAGGAAGAGAGGCACGAATCTCCTGCCGATAGTACTTACTCCTTTAAATACATTTCGGAGAGCTCGCCAGATCACGCATTAAACTAGAAGTCCAGAATAATCGGTCCTAGTGATTAATTAATCGTCGGGGGCTAAGTCAATCCATGGCGCCCGGGATGTCGTCCAATAAATAGTCTCACAACCTAAGCCCCCCCCTTTTTTGTTTCCATTGAATGCTGATCGGACGCCGAACTTGCCGTTCCAATCGATAACTTAATGCGGTCGCCGGAACAGCGGATACTTCCGAGACCGAACAACGTTCCATTGACGCCATCCGAAGCAGATTCTGCAGAGATTTCGGTTCAAAGTCTCTGATGACTTTACTGCGCCATGAAATTACACGAGGTCAGCTTTAGATACTGCAGAGTTAACAGACCCGAGTCCCAGCCGGCGCTTGTCTCTCTCGACCGGGCCGACGCAAATGTGGCGCGACCTCGTGGTCGATCACACCACGGCCCAGCTGACGGGACTATGTTTATAGCTAAATTCGATGACCGAGGCATCCGCTGGAATTTTGCGCACAATCACAACTAGAAGGGGCCGACAAGCGGCAGGACACCTTGCGGACCTGAGAGCAACAATCACGGTCAGTAATGAAAGGACTTTCGATACCAAGCTACATACATTGTACAGACAGACATGTAATACAAAGTAGTCACGCATTCAGGTGTTCAGCTTGCGCTTAATAGGAGAGGAAGGACCGACGGGAGCAGCATCAGACTTGATGATGTCAGTTATTGTGGACCTGGGGGAAACCTGCATCGCACCATTCAACGCATATGTCGTACTGTCTCGGGGGAAGGGACGGCACGCGATTCGCATTCTGCGACTACCCGACTATGACCTTCTCACTACACACCCATGCGAACACCTCAGAAAGGAGGATACCCGCGTGGAGAAGCTAAACAAGTCGACGAGAAAACTGTACTAAGAGGGGAGGCAAGTTTAAAAAAAATGGAGACTAAGGCAGACAGAAGGGCGTGGGACTCGTCGCGACAACACGTGACGACCGAGGGGCCAAGCGTCCGGCATGGAAGGCGAAAAATAAATGCTATGGCAGAAAGGCGAGACACCGACGCCACCAGGACTCAGCTGTTGGCAAGGCCGAAACGCGAAGGGGCGCGAGGGCGATCACGTGAAGACGAACGAACAAGAGAACAAGAGCACCGCACGTCGCGAAAATGTCGGAAAAAGGTGTCGTGGGCGCTTATGAATTATGGGCAGGAAGGTACCTAGCTGCGCAAGGTGATCATGCCACCTGGCTCCGCTCTCGGGCTACGGAACTTGATTTTCACCATGCTGCACACGTCTCGTATTGTTTCAACCAGAAATCACGACAACAATCGCGCCAATGGCTAATGATCTAAGTAGGTCATCCCAGATAATGAACAAAACATCAAAACATGCCCTCGGAGTGGATTGAACACCCGGTCTTCGCTTTGATTCAGGTACAAGAGCGACGCCTTACCACTGGGCCACGAGGGCATTGCTGAGTTCTGCAAATTGGCTATATTCATTCTCAATAACCTCGAAATCAGCCGCTCGCATTTTACTGATCTTTCAACTGCTTCGCCATGACTTGACGTCACACCACAGCCACTCATCACCCGATCTTCAAAATCAACCTAGAACTCGACGCTTGTGCTCAACGACATATTTTTTTTCTGTTGTAGCTGTGTCTTGCCACCGCCATAGTATTTGGCGTTTTGCCGTTAAGACAGCAACACTCAGACACGACGATGACGCGAATGCCAGGGAAACCGCCCAATAACAGACAATCTGGAACGTGGATACTATAGCAAGGTGTCGATACTGATACAAGGCAGACAGATAGAGTGAACTAATGATGCGATGGCGAGTCTATGCACGGATGGCGAGCTGCTGAGCAGGTCGCTGTATGATGATGCGCGTGTGGCGGACAGCGCGGTAACGAAGTATGGCCCGAGTCCACTGCGGTCCGTTACAACTTCTTGGGCTTGACTTTGCGGATGAAGCCCCCGACGTGACTTCTGCTTGAGCCAGCGCTTGGCGGTACTCCGTTTTGCGCAGCAATCTCTGCCTGCCTCCGCGCCTCCAGCCACTATAAGCTCTCGTCAGTGGGTGCTATAATTCGACCTCAACACAGCAGACATACCTGGTTGCGGGTGTATTGATGCAGGCTCGTTGCGTATTCAGAGAGGGCGTGTTGCCGGGTCTCGGAAGGCGGCGACGCTGAGGAAGGAATTGTAGCGACCATGACTGACGGTGGCAAAGGTGCTGTGTGAGGGATTGTTCCGACACTTAGGCAGCTCGAGTGGGCCTTATAAACTAGCTCAAAAGATGATGACGTCGGAACGCCACTTAGAACTTTGACCCCTCACAAACAGACCAACTGTGGCGCGTCCCCTCCACGCCCGCCGTTTCACGCCTGGTGATGACGAAAATTCCACTCCATCGCATGAGGCAGTGAGGCTGCCATCTACAGCAACTAACTTCTCCATGCGTCTCAACTCGCTCCTGAACCCACTTGCACCACTGTCTGTGTGGCGCGATTAGACTCGCCTAGGAAAATATCAATCCCGTTCATCGGGGCGATGATGTGAGGTCATCTGCTTCGATGACGCTTCTGCACTACGCCGCTTTGGTATTGGTCGGAGGCTAGACGTACCGCACCTTCTTCCCTAAATCATCATGAAACTTGACAATGCGTCAAAAGTCATACGTCTGTGCGCTGAGACGTGTCATCTCAACCGTCTCACAGCCTTCAACTTGGATCAGAGGGCCTGCTCGATGACCTTACTATGACATATCGTTTCGCCGGTTGTGCCTCTCTGATCGAACCCTCGGTGTCAACCTCCCAGATCTTCTGAGCGTCACTGTCGTGATTCTCGCCAGTGCGTAAGACAAACTTCTCGCCGCAGCATCGATGCAGGAAGCCCCAAGGAGTGTGATCAGATTTTTACATGATTGGCAAGGGGGTTATACACGCGAGGCTTGGTCATACGGCCGTGGAAGTAATAAATTACGCTACACGGGCTACCTCTGAGGGTCTGGCATCGCAGGGCCAGACACAAGGCACAGATTTCGTGGGGTGAACTGCACATTGATGATTGGAGTCCGCTTCGTCGGGAATGTCGACAGCAAGTCCAATCTACCGTGCTGTCAGTCAGCCATCACAGGCCGCTCCATCGCATCGGAAAGGGACTCACGTTTCGATGTTTTGCTCAGCTGCGCTGCCATCCAGACCGCCAGTTGGCAATGCACCGACGTCGACCGCACCATTACCGGTCACCGCCCGTCTAGCAAGACCAAACCCCTCGACCATGGCCACATCGTCCTGACCACCGCGCTTGGAAGGCAGCCCGCCGGCATGCTTGACATCCCAGCATCGCACAGTCCAGTCAGCGCTGCCGCTCACAAGAACTGTGGACTCGACACTGAATGCCAGCGAGTAGATTGGGCCGGTGTGGCCAGTCATCTTCTTGATCTTTCGACCAGACCCCAAGTCCCAAAGGTTGATGGCTAGGTCTTCGCCTAAAGTATCGGCTTAATGCCCGGCTAATGCCCAAGGGATGCCACTTGTACACGCACCTGCGCTCGCAAGATATCTACCATCGGGTGTCATAGCCATTGCCGTGATAGCGCCTGTATGGCCGAGGAAAACGCGGACACAATTACCTTTCTGCACATCCCACAATCGACATGTCGAATCTGTGGAGCCAGTGGCAAGGTAGAGCGCATTGGGATGGAAGCGAACGCACTTGAAGTACGGGTCAGACGGCGTGATCCCTGGCCAGTGCGATATCACTCACATCGACATCACTTAGGTGACCAGAAAATACACGAAGCGCTGACGTTCGATCGGTTGACCACAAGCGGGCCGTCCGGTCTCGACTTGCGGTGGCGAAATAAACACCTTGTGGACCCCATTCAACGTCCCACACTGGATTCTGATGGCCGCGGTAGGCGACGAGGTTGGACATGGTGTCCAGCGACCAAAGACGAACGGTGGCATCCGCTGAAGCAGAAAGCAGGTGACGAGGTGGAGCTGCTGACCCGGTCGTCGGATCAAAGGAGAGCGAGTACACGGGACCGCTATGCCCAATGAGCTTGCGAGTCGTGTTTCCACCCTTTTCTCGGATGCGTTTTAGAGAGTTACCTAACGATGAGGCGTCAATATCATCATTCAACGGGACTTTGTATGACGACGTACTATCTTTGACGGACGACAGATTGAAATCGCTGCGCATACCCTTGAGCTTGTCGCCCTTTGTACTCCACAATCGAATGTAGCTTTCAGAGAACCCTGCAGCAAGAACGGTCGAGTCCTGCGAGAATGTTGAGCTCGTGATACTGAAAAGGTTTAGTGCCTTGAAGCGTGGCTGATCACAAACATACACACCCGTCTGCTGCGTCACGGAATGTGTATGCACAGATGCTCGGTATTGCGCGAGCGCGAAGAAGACCTTGCGGGTCATTGTCCGCAATGTAGCCAGTGTGATCTAAGCGAATTCGTTTCTGCGCGTCCATAATTTTTTCTACTTCCCGGCGGACGTCGACGGTTTTGAATGATGGAGGCATTGGCAGCTGTTCTGTGGATGTTGGTGCAGGATGTCCGTTCGGTGGTGGCATAAATGGTCGAGGTATTTGTACTGGAGGATTAAATGCACCTGGCGCTCCGTTCGGGCCAGGTTCGCCTATAGCAGCGTCCTCTCGCAGCTTCCGCTCAACTTCGTCTCGCAAACCATCATCCATAGCCGGTAGGCCGAGACGGAGATCTTTCCGCATGCTGTTGAAGGCTTGCGGCGCAGACATGCCTGGGACGGAGGCGCCACCAGTCGCATCTGGGATCAGGGCGGAAACAAGTCCAGTATTATCCTCCCACATACTTGCTGGAACGTTTGCGCTGGTAACGGTTGTGACTGAATTGCTTGGACTTAGACTAGCATGTTATGCACGGTTGTAATACGCACATACCTTCGACCGAGACATGATTGTTGACCACCTGCATCACAGCTGATCTCCCTCTTCTACTAGATTCTCCAGTAAAGCCATCGCCGGCGCCTATAGCCTCGCCGCCGGTGCCTTCAGTCAACCAGCCGACAAGCAACTTGAAGCCGGATTTGGACAGGCGCAACAGATACTTTTCATTCCTAAACCGCCGCGCTAGCTCGTCTTGAGCAACGTGGGTAGGTAGCGAGATGGAATGAAGTCGCGTCAGAGTCGGTGTATGGTGCGTGGCCAACGACGGCGAATAACGCTGAAAGAAGTCAATCGCTGCGGCTCGAATTAGCAATTTAACCATTATATAGGGTGACAAAGTCCAAACCAGAGTCTTTAAGGCCTTGCTCAACAAGGTCCAAGTAGAAGTGACAGAAAATGGGGAAGAGGATTGGGCGAAACTCGGGCTGCAGTATGGCACCTCAGTATTCAGTCGGATAGAGTAATTAAATGTCAGTACGCACACGATACATGTCTAGCGAGCCATCGACCCAGAGGAGGAGGTCTCTGAAGCCGTCATGTCTATCAGTCGGGCCAGAGGTAAGTGCGTCCTCAACACCCATGCCGACCGCGTTCAACAAGTTGGTGACTGTGTTTGTGCTTGACATTGCACCACCGAGCATAGTGGCCGAGACGTTGGTTAATATCTGCTTGGACTGATTCGGGTCTGCTAGAACGTTTGACGAGTCTGAGGCGGAGCGCGGCATTGTTGGCGCGTTCCTCTTGACCAACTCGGCAGAGGTGATTGTGTTGGTCTTGGACTTTGCGGCTTGTCGCGTCAATCTGCGTTCAGCTACCGGACGTGAGCTCTCCGAGGGAGCTTGGTTGAGATGGTCGCGGACTTGTTGTGCCGCTTCGTTGAATCCATGCTTGCGCAGATACTCGAGCACCTGTGCGTCAAACCCGGTCAGTGACGCATCGTCGCTAGGCGGGCCATCGACGGGGGACGCCGCACTGGGTGTGTGGCTCGAGCTCGGGGTCTGCGACATGGCGGTGAATGAGCTTGCGCAAGGAGAGAGGCGGACGGCGATCTGCGTCGGAGTTCGGCTCGCGTCAAACTCTCGTTCTCTTCTTTCATTCTTATTGCTTCTTCGCTGTTCTCATATTCTCTGTTTTATGATCACGGTGGCAGCGCTCCTTGGTGCTTCACATACTGCGCCTGCATCTGTTGCCAGACGTCGGTGTCGACTGCAGACCTACACTCACAGACTTTCTGGTTACTGTTCCGAAAGCGAGATGCGAGGGGAAACTTTGCTCTTCGTGCTGCCCAGTCTCGCCAGTTACTTTCGCTCCTGCCCGTCGGTGGACTAATAATTTAACGAGAATGACTCATGCACTCAGGATGTGTATCCCCCAAAACCAGTCCTTGGACACTACGCGCGAAGACGCGTGCCATTAAGAGAGCTTCAGGAGATAGCCAGAGGGTCGTGCCTCCACGAAACTCAGGACTCAACATTCATGTCCGCTCCTATCCCATCGACTCAGATGCGGACGCCTGGGCTTTT